GCCTCTCAATTGCAGTATCCTTAATGTTAATTTCACTCAAAGTTGTTTTTTGTTGCAATAGAAGGATATGACAACACAACTATGAAATTCAAACACACTGTTGTTCAGGGATAAGAGTCACATTCAGTGGCAGGATAAACTTTTTATACAACAAATGAAGTCGCATAAAGAGTGATAAAGGTTATGTTCTCTTATCATTCTGATGACTGAACTCTTCATCCTTAACTAACAAATACTGTTGAGTTACTGTCTCAACTGCTAAGTAAAAATAAGCCTTTTCCATAAGAGCTTCTAACAAATTGTTTAGAGTACAATAATTCATTTGAATTCTGATTTGGAATCATACCTATGAAAGAGTTTTTGTGTGAAAGTGAATGCAACTGTCTTAGCTGGAATTTGAACTTGACATACCAATCCATTTTCCATGACAATAACTACTATATTATGTACACATCCATTTTAGCCTTTTTAAAATATTCATTTAAAGATCATTAAGAAAAAAAATCACAAGGTCTACTTATGATTTTTGCCTTACTGACTTTCTCCCATTTTAGTCATTTTCTGCAGTAACTAATTAGTTTTAATAGTAAGAGAAAGAACATTTTATGACTAAATACTAAGCAGTACTATTGTATGTAGTTCATTAAATATCTGAAGGAAAAAGAAAGTGGGTATTTCTCAGTGTTCAAGAATTCTAGCAAATACAATAGACAGAAAAAAAATGAGTTGAGGTGGTTAATTTAACTATCAACCCTTGTTAGCTTATTTAATGCTGAATATAAATCTTACAAGACAAAACCCACACTGAATTCATAGAAAGGTAGACACAGGTTCAGTTTGCACTTAAATCAATAAATAGATATTGGTTGAGCTTATACAAGAGTCTGCAAGTGTCCACCAGAAGTCCTGTCAATAAGGCAAAACAGAAGAAAAGTAATGTCAATAATAGCCATTTACTTATAAGAAAACATTCAGCTTTATTGACCGGGCAGTCAGTGCTATTTTTGCTTGAAATTTCTAAAATCCTTCTATTAAAACAATTGTATTTTTTTTAGGAAAATGGGTTTTCTCAAGTCCAGTAACTTTTATTGCTCTTTTCAGCGGTGATTGGGGTTTCCTTCCTAACCTTTTGTTCAGACTAGTGTGGAATATCAACATCTTGATTTTATCATTATTTATTACTTGAGTTTTAGTTGTTGCTGTCATTGAAAGTCCTCAAGTAATGTGGTTTCTGTTGCTATTTGGTATAGTCCTTTGTGATTATGTCACACCTGTCCATGAGGTTTGAAGAGGAATGATCCTCATTAAAACCTCCAGGCTTCATTCATTTTTAACCACTGATCTGAGAAAGTGGGTGTAAATTTAAATATTTCTGGACAAGTTTAGCACCATGCATGACCAGGTATTGAACTCACACTCTTTGAGTCCTGTTAGTGAATTTAACTAACGCCTTTATCCACTGTGCCATGAGTCCTGGTTAAGGTGGTGGAGAACTTGGAGAGGGGAATTAACAGGAGATAACTGATAACTGACATCCATTAAACATGGCATGTGTAACTAGAACAGTCTACCCCAGTGAGTGAAATAAAGGGTTCAGTTCAACATTCCAATCACCTGAAGAAGGCCGGAGTGTACAACGGCCGAAACGTTGTAATAAATATGGCAACAAAGATGAGGACAATAGTCCGAATAATGTAAATAGTGTACATAATACCTCATCTCAGAAATATAGACAGATACACAATACTTTTATATTTATTATGACATTGGTTTCTGAAAATATTCAATGAAATTCAAGAGAAACACTGTAAATACTAACAACTGAATGTGTATTTTGTTGAATAATTTCTATTTGATGTATTTATGGAAATGCTCCAGCCATTTAATAAAAGTAGTGTTCAACTGCTATGTCCTATCAGTCTTACTGTATGGCAGTGAATGCTGGACAATTTCCTCACAGATGAAGAAGAGATTTGAGGCTACAGAGATGTGATTCTACAAAAGGATGCTGAGAATATCATAGACTAAACATGTGAGTAATGAGGGAGAAAAATGGAAAGAAAAAGGACACATATTTAGTATTAGAAAGAGTTGAAATTTCTAGGACACATTGAGGAAAGAAGGCTTGGAAAATTTGATATAATGAAGCCAAGAGGACAGACAGAAACAGTCTGTGTAAATAGATGGCAGAACAGAAATGGGGAAGGATAATAAAAAGACAGATTGCTAAGAGCTAAAATGGATAAGAAGTTGTGGAGAGCCACATCACCAATAACCTGAAGGGAAATGGCACAAAAGAGGAGGAGAAGGTGGAGGAGACTATCTTAGGAACTGCACACACCAAACATGCTTGGCTTGTTGTAGGCCATCTAGAATACTGATCACTTCCAATTGATTCCTGGCCAGGCTGGAAATATCAATATTGTGCTGAAAATACCAACTTGTAAAATGCAGAGGGCATGGGCTTGCTAATTCCATTTGCAATGAAGTGCACATAGCTATTATGAAACTGAGGCTAACTTTTTCTATTGTACATGAGTAGATAGGTTCACCTATCATCCAATTTACATTCCTCCCCAGACTTTTGAACATAAATTGAGGTTTATCCAATGTTTCTTACTTGGGATTGGGTTTCCAGTTCCTTCTAAAGTCATCTCATTCTCTTTCACTCACAGTAGCCCCCTTCCATTTTAGTGGCATTATCACCTTGCTTGGGGTGAGGTGACTGACAAGCCCAACCAAAAAAAAAAAAAAAACAGTAATTTCTCCATCACCATAAATTTGCTTCCCCTGTGCCTTTTCGGTAAATATTTTCATGGTAATTTTTTAGATGAGCTATTTGCTATGCTATCTAGACTATATGAATTTCAGTGAAGTACTAGATTAGCAACAACTGAATTGGCAAAATTTAAGTTCTATGTTAACAGTATCTTTTCTTGCATTTTTCGCTTGTGGAACTCTCTTCCAACTTCTTGCTTCCCAAACAAGTTTGATCTTCAAAAATTTAAATGCAATGTCAACTGTTATCTACTGTCTCGCTGATTACCATTCTATTTTTCTCACTCCTCAATAATGCTTCTGTTTTATAATTCTTTCACACCCAATAACACCTTGTGTCTTAGTGGCTTTACTGCCTTACACGGGGTAAATTCGATTAAAAGGAAGAAAAGAAGAAAGTAATGTCTGAGAGAATAATCCAAATTTACCACTGAGAGGATTTAAGTATGTGGATTCAAGCCAGTATATAGACAGTGGTTTTGAGCTACTCAAAGATTTACAGAAGTGGCAAAGTTCATAGTGACCCTGTGAACTGTTTATTTTTTTTCTGAGAGAACTCTTGTATATACTTGAGTTGACTTATTGTAACAACACAAATAGTAAAATTTTATTTGGACTTACTGAATCATCCCTAACAACCTTCTTAATCATTTGAAAAGTTTTATCTAAAATGATGCATATTTACAGTGAGCATGCCCAGTAAATTCAACTCTGCTTAGCTGCTAGTATAGCTGTAATCAATGTTCTTGAGAGAAGCTAGCTGCAGGTTTGGTTTGGTTTGTTTTACGGCATATCAACCTCAATGGGTCATTTAATGCTGACAACTTTTTCTTTTTTTTTTTTCTTGGTAATATTTTTGCTTTGTCAAAAATCTATTTCTGTTAATATTTTTTCCTCAAAAATGTATAGCTGGTAATATTATTTTTTTCAAAAAACATAGCTGGTAATATTTTTTTTTCAAAAAACGTATAATTGGTAATATTATTTTTTCAAAAACATTATCAGAGGCCTTGCTGCTGAACATAGTTTATCGTCATACCAAGGACGTAGATGTAGTTTATCGTCATACCCAGGACAAGATCTGGGTTTTGGGGGCTAACTATTTGCCCATAGCTGGGACCCTAACAGGTGCTACCACCCTGGGTCAGGTTGGACCTGGGAACACCAGCAATTAAGAGGTGGTTCCACACTCCTCAAAACCACCTGATCAGAGGCCTTGCTGTTGGACATAGTTTATCGTCTTACCCAGGACGCAGATGCAGTTTATTGTCATACCCAGGATGGGTTAACTGCAAGGTTGACCTGAGAGATGTTAGCCTGGAAGCCAAGTGAAGATCCACATTAAAATACATGCTCAATCAATGACATTAACTTGACAAACTCTGAAGTTAGAGAATAATTCTATGTATGAGTTTATAGTTTTATGAGACAATAATATTGCACTGGGTTATATCAAGGCTGCCCAACCAGTTCTCAGGATATTTTAAGAAAGTAGGGTACTTTCCGAACAGGTCTATATTTTTATTATATGATACTATGAAAATAGTCTATCAACTAGTTACTTTATCATTGTTACTAAAACAATTATTTTGGTTTCTAAAGATTTGTCGCCTCTTTTCAATATCTCTTAAGTACATAGACTTTCACTTCTGCTCTACAAGCAAAGAGACATTCTTGACAGTTTGCTCATGTAGTCACCTCTGATAAAGAAGTTTCTGCAGTACCAACTGTCCAGTGTTATACTGCCGAATACATTTTGAAAGGATTTCTAATGAGATACTGCTGCCAGTTATGTTCAGGTACTTGATATATTGGGAAACTATTCTTGGTAAATTCAATAAATTAGATTTGTGGCTTCTTTGGTCATAGCTTTATTTTTTAAAGAAGTGAAAAAAAAAAAGACGAGTTCAATTTGTTTGGGTGTTCAGAATGTATGTTCAAGACTGAATGTGTTCTATAGGCTGTGCAATATAACCTGAGAAATCTTGTACTGTGCAAACCCCAAGGGGGGAAATGTGTGTGTGTGTGTGTGTGTGTGTGTGTGTGTGTAGGTAAGAAAGTGCCGAGAAAGAAAGAAAATGTGATTAGAGAATGGAGAGAAGAAATTAATGAGGAAGTATGATAAAGGAAAGGTAAAGGAGGAATTAGAACAACTAAGAGAAAATAAATTAGAAAATACGAGTTATAAAGACTATGTATAAAGAGAAGAGAAAGTAAAAAAGTTATGAGGAAGAAAAAAACAATATCAAACTAAACAAATATATGTTGGAAAGGGAGGAATTGGGTAAAATATGACAGAGAGAGGAAAATAATATACTAATAACAGAAATAAAGAAGGGAAAAAGAGAGAAGGAATGGAGGGAGGAATGAGCCAAAAGAGAGAGAGAGAGAAAGCAAGAAAAGGAGAAAGGAAAGGGAAAAAGAAAGTGGAGAGAGCGCCATGGAAGGGGGAGAAAAGGAGAGCTGTGGAAAAAGGGGGGAGAAAGAAGAGAACGCCTAGAAAAGGGAGAGAAAGAAGGAGCGCCTAGAAAAAAAAGGGGGGAAGAGAGCGCCTAGAAAAGGGGGGGAAGAAGAAAGAGTGCCGTGGAAGAGCGGGGAAAGAAGAGATGTATTGTGGAAGAGGGGGGGGGGAAGAGAGAGCCTGTGGAAGAGGGAGGAAAGAAGAGAACGCTGTCGAAGAGGGAAGGAAGAAAACGCAAGAGGGGTGGGGAAAAGAAAGCGGGGGTGAAATCAGGGAAAGCAGCAAGGCATGAAAGGGGGGGCAGAAAGTAGAAAGCGGTGGGGGAGAAAATAGAAAGCAGAGGGCAGAAAGGAGAGGGGGCAGAAAAGAGAAAGGGGGGGGCAGAAAGGAGAAAGCGAGGGGCAGAAAGAAGAATGCGGGGGGGGCAGAAAGTATGTGGGGCTGACAAGAAAGCAGTGAAGGAGAAAGTAGAGGGGCAGAAAAGAGAAAGTGGAGGGGCAGCAGAAAGGAGAAAATAGGGGGGCAGAAAGGAGAAAGTAAGTGGGGGGGGGCTAGAAAGGTGATAGTGGGGAGGGGACAAGAAAGGTGAAAGCATGGGGGGGAGGAGAAAGGAAAAACCAAGGGATGAGAAAGGAAAAGCAGTGTGAAGGGGAGGAGAAAGGAGAAAGCCGGGAGTGGAGGAAGGAGAAGGGGAGAAAGGGGGAGGGGAAGGAGAAGGAAGAAAGGGGAGGGGAAGGAGAAGGGAAGAAAGGGGAGGGGGAAGGAGAAGGGAAGAAAGGGGAGGGGGAAGGAGAAGGGAAGAAAGGGGAGGGGGAAGGAGAAGGGAAGAAAGGGGGGAGGGGGAAGGAGAAGGGAAGAAAAGGGGAAGGAGAAGGGAAGAAAGGGGAGGGGAAGGAGAAGGGAAGAAAGGGGGAGGGGAAGGAGAAGGAAGAAAGGGGAGGGAAGAAAGGGGGAAGGAGAAGGGAAGAAATTGGGTAGGAGAAAACAGGAGAGAAAGAAAGCAGGGTGAGAAGAGGAAGGAGAAAATTGGAGAAAGTGAAAAATGGAAAGGAGGTAAAAAGAGAGGATAAAAGAGATTTAACTAACGTAGCAACTAGCAAGAATAAGATTGAGACAATAGACTGGAATAGTAGGAAACATACACATGATTGAATAGAGTTGGGAAAAAATATATAGACTGAAGCAAATAACTAAAAGCTGAAAAGGGCCAGTGGTCTCTACTGAAAGAGACAAATTAAAAGAGCAGCAGCAGCAGCAGTCAGTTAGTAGATTAACAAAACACAAACTTTTTCTCAAGCTTATGAAAAGCACAGCTAAGCTTATTGAGAAAAAAATAGAGTATAATTAGTTCCTAGCAGTATGCCATCAATATATAGATTGAGGATGTGGTATTGTTACCGTAAGGATTCTGATTGGCTGAAAGATACAGCAATATTGCTGAATGAGCAAACAACCAATCAAATAGCTTGCATATTTTGTTCCTTCACACTCTCTTATTTCATTAAATAAATCAAATTAAAAATGTTACTTCATGTAAGTAACATAGACTACATGGTAAATTAATAAAAACTATACCAAAAGTAGAAACAAAATATTAGTTTCTCATCTTATTTATATTATTTACATTTGGCCTCGTGTCATCATCTTTGTTGTTATTATCACAGTGTTTCAGTTGTGCCCTCAGGCCTTCAAGTTTGTCAATCCAGGTAACCTTCAGGGAATTTAAAACTTAACTTTTTATTTAATCTATGAAGGTAGATTGGCCTTATTCTGCAGTCCATGAGTCTGGGTATCTCAACTTGTTCTTATGTAGTGCTGTTCAGTTAATGCTTGCCTGTTGAATTTGAAGGTATAGTAATTCTGAGTTCAATCCCTGGGCCAGGTAGTACAGACTAAAAAATTTCACTGATCTGTAGACATTGACAGTGGAATCAGAACAATCTAACCTTGTACATTATCGAAAGGGTTCAGTTTGGACTTTTTTTTTTATCTTTTCACCTTCAGCAAGGTAGCAAAGCTACCAAGACACAAGAGATTACTAAGTGCAAAAGAATAAGGAAAAAGAGAAACATTCTTAAGGAGCAAGAACAATAAAAAATAAAGAAGAGTCACCAAGTAGATAATGAGTGACATTGCATTTAAATTTTTGAAGATCAAACTTGACTGGAAAGCATGGAGCCAGGATAGAGTTCTACAAATAAGAAATGCACAAGAAGAAATTGGCATCAAACTTGAGGTTGCATCTAGACAATTCAACTGTAAATTGATGAGGATGGTTACTGGATCAACCGATAACTGAAGAAGGTGAGAGAGAACAATCATCAAAATGTGATAACAACAATAATGATGAGGATATTATGTAAATAACACCTGATATTATATTGTATATAAAATATATATATAGGTAAATATTATATATATATATATATATATATATATATATATATATATATATAAAAAAAATAACACCTGATATTATATTGTATATAAAATATATATATAAATAAATAAAAATAACACCTGATATTATATTGTATATAAAATATATATATATGTAAAATTATATATATATATATATATATATATATATATATAAAAAAATAACACCTGATATTATATTGTAAATATATATATATATATATATATATATATATATATATATATATATATATAAAATAACGCCTGATATTATATTGTAAATATAAATAAAAAATAACGCCTGATATTATATTGTAAATATAAAATAACACCTGATATTATATTGTAAATATATATATATATGTGTGTGTGTGTGTGTGTGTGTAAATAACACCTCAAACTAGAAATTCAAACAGAAATTAATGTCATCTTACTGTTTTTCTTTAATATTTTTAATATTTTTTTTTTCAACACAAGGTTCACTTTAGTTGTATTTTCAATTAAAATACATTGCATCAACTCATGCACAGGTATAATTATTTTTTATATGGTGGTAAAGATGTCACTCACACTCTTTGGGTCCTGTTACTGGATCTAACTAATGCCTTTATCCACTGTGCCATGTGTCCAAAAGTATGAGTTCAATATCTAGTTAAGGCAGTAGAGAACTTTCAGAGGGAAATTAACAGGAGATAACTGATAACTGACATCCATTATACATGGCATGTGGAACTAGAACATTCTACCCCAGTGAGCGAAATAAAGGGTTCAGTTCGACATTGCAAGCACCTGAAGAAGACTGGAGCATACAACGGCCAAAACATAATAAATATGGTGACAAAGATGAGGACAATAGTCTGAATAATGTAAATAATGATATTTAAGTTAAATATAAAGCATTTTTATGTTAACTTGTTTTACAAAGGTACCAGATAAGTAAAATTATTTTAATCTTTCTTTAGAAGTCATCATACATTAGGCAATATGTTGGGCCTTTATTTAGGACTAGCAGTAGAGTCCGGTGTTGCCCAGGGATGTAACAGTAAGAGATAGATTAAGTATCGACCATCATAAAGACTGAAAAATAAAATTGACAAAGATTATTGTTTAAGGTTGACAGACACGCATGTCTTCATTAGTTTTTTTTTTTTTTTTTTTTACGAATTGGTCAAACCCAAATTCAAACAAAAACATTGTTTACAATCGTTATGAGTCTATCGATTGGTGAATAGAATTTTATTATAAACAATTGTCTTGTAAATGGAATTTTTAAAGCATTCTGAATGTAAATAAAGAAAAAAGTGTGCAAGACAATAAGAAATACTACCTGCCGAAAAAAAAAAAAGTGGATGTTTGTTTTATCTGCTGAAAAATGTAAGAAATCCGATCCCATATATAAAGGAACACACACACACACACATAAACAACCTGGGTTTTTTAACCTAAGTCACTCCACGGAATCGCTAAAACATAGAGCATAGTCTGATGAAAAAGATGCCAAAGTTTATGAAAACAAAATTTTATCGTCAAAATGCTTATGTTTTTATGAAGAGGATAGACTAAATTTTTTTTTTTAATTATTTTAAAAAATTTTTCCATCTTTTTAGAATATTCTAAATTTTGATTTAAAAACCTTGTTTCTCTTTGTCGCAACAAGGGGTAGTAAATAACATAGATAATTTTTAGCGCGTTTTTTGTATTTACACACATTAATTTGGAAAATCTTGCAAAAATAAAAATAATTGTCAGATGTTAATGAAACTTTCAGAAACTATTCACAGATGATCGAAATTATTATAAATATGTTTTTTTTTTTAAAAAGTCATGGCAGAAATATTTTTTTTATATTTATTAACACCCCCATAACTAATTTTATGAAAACTCTAGAAATTGAGACCATCAGTTTTAGTGATTACAATAGTTAAAAGCACAAGGCTTTGAAGAATGCAAATCATGTTTTTTTTTTTGTTTTTTTTGGCCAACGTACCTGAAAATCAGCTGTGAATTGTAACATACAAAACTCAATAAAACAAATATATTATTTAGTTTCAAATGCTTTTATTTGTTTTAATTTGTTTTTATGAATATGGACAATATTTTCTGAAAGCAAAAAATTTTTTCAATGAAAATTGAATTTTTAATGCAATTATTTCTTATTTCTTTAATTTTAAAAAGATTTTAAAAAAATTTTAAAAAATATTTTAACATTAGTTAAAAGCAACATCAACCTTTCAAAATGTCCGTGTGAGATTGTCTAGCGCTTTGAAAATTGTATAATTTGGACCAATCAGATTAGCCATGGTAATTAAGAAATGTAATTTTTGTGTTTATAGTCGGACAGTAATTTTCAAGTACGGAAGACCAACCAGAATACAATTTAGTTGCATTATTTGAGTTCAGCATTGTTCTCCGCTGTTAAGCCCTTTACTTTTGCTAAACACTTATAGAGAAGTTAATTTGAGTTTTCAATTTCAACTGAGAAGGGTACCTACAAGTAACAGTATCATCTTATGAAATTTAACTACTGCTAAACTTTAATTTATATGATCTTATTTTTATATTAATCTCAGTTATGACATTTTTCCATAAATGAAATATCAAAATTAATAATAAAATGAATGGAAATACAAATAACACAGTAAAATGTAATAAATGTACATAAAATTATAGTATTTTATGTACATTTTCTGATAAAAATTTCATAAGAAAGGTACCTAAATTAATTAGATACCTTTTTCTTATGAAATTTAATCTCACTATTAACAGTCTTATTTTTTAATTTCTTTATATTTTCCATAAAGCATCGTAAATGTAAAAATGAAAGCTAAGTACAAAAAAAAATAAAAATAAAAAATAAAAAATTAGAGCACTGAAAGTTTTCCTTAAAAGTAACAAGGTAAATAATTTGTTCACTTAAATAATTTCACTTCCTTCCATCCGTAGAAAGAATTCTCCTCCCGTAAGTTATCTAAACGTCATGAATGTGACTTTTTCGTCAATCGTCGTTTACGCGAAAAGGTTATGACCTGCTTTGTTTTATTTTCAAATTACATTTTTCGGCGGCAGAAGCTAAGTTAAGCTTGGTTCAAAATATTTTAAATAAACAGTATAATTTCTGTTTTTATTAAAAAATCAGTTTTCAAAAATGATAATTGATTTTTAAAAGAATATCAAAGTAAGATTTTAATCTTTTTATCAAATCGAAAAAAAAATGATTGAAAATGATTGATTATCTGCCCTTTTTTTTTTTGACCAAAAAACCTATATTTTTAACGAAAATTTCAGACGCTAGGAACGATTAAAAATGTAAAAAAAATACCCCAAAATACTTTGATCTTTCCTCTTTAATAATAATATGAACATTAGATGATAAAATTTTGTTTTTGTCAAGTTCAGCTTTTTTTTTTCATCATGCTATGCTCTTATGTTTACATTTTCGTGGGTGAGTTGTCCCCTTTCATTCTCAACGATGTGTCTTAATCATGTCTTCAAATTGATTTTATTAAAAAACAACTGTATTTTTTTCCCATTTTCGGCCCCGTTAGAACCACCACAAGGTAATTTTATGTAGTCCTGTGAAGTTTTGTTGAAATCGGCTAAAAAATGTAGGAAATTTGATCCAACATATAAACGTTACAGACACACACACAGAATCTGCGTTTTATAATAAGCAAGATGTTATTAGCCATCATCATCTAGTAATACTGATCACATGAAATATA